AGCATATTTGGTGCCTTTTTGTGGTCTGGACCTAATCTAAAAAGGACTGTTGCCAAAGTTGCTTGGGAGAAGTGCTGTATCCCCAAAAAAGCTGGAGGTCTTGGTCTGCCAAACTTGCAAATTTACAATGAAAGTGCAGTCATGAAGCATTTTTGGAACATTTTATGCTCAAAGGATATGTTGTGGGTCAAATGGATCCACACTTACCTTCTTAAAGGCAGCAGTCTTTAGGAGGTTAAAGTACCTGGACAGTGTTCTTGGACTTGGAGGAGATTGCTTGGGCTTAGGGACTCAATCAAGCCTCTTATCAAGTTAGAAATTGGTGATGGAGCTTCATCTAATTTCTGGTTTGACAAATGGTGTCAACATAGTCCTCCGTATCAACACATACATCCTCAACAGATCACTTTAGCTGGATTTGACAGCATGACCAAAGTGAACACTTTCATTAGCAACAACTCATAGTCCTTCCCACAATCCATTACAAACCTATTGCCACAACTACTGGACACCTCCTCACTGCCTAATCCTAAGCCCCACTGCATTGACAAATTCATCTGGATTCCATCCAAGTCTAGTTAATTTTTCATAACAAAAACTATGGATCACTACAACCTGCAGTACCCTACTTTACTTGGACTCATCTTGTATGGTTCAAGTCATCCATTCCTAAACACTCCTTTACCCTATGGGTTACAATTTAGCAGAAGTTACCTACTCTAGATAGAATGTGTACAGCTTACATTAACTCTACAATGTGTACAGCTTACATTAACTCTACGATGTGTATCCTGTGCAATGCTGAACCTGAATCTCATGATCTCTTATTTTTTAGTTGTTCATTTGTCCAGCCTCTATGGAAATTTATACAGGCTCGATGTGGATTCTATATACAGCCTACTTCCTGGACTCAGCTCATTGCTTGGGCATCTTTTCATTGGAGGGGGAAATTCTGATCACCACAGTAACATAGTCTCAAAAATAACATTGGCTTCTCTTGTCTATAACATCTGGATTGAAAGAAACATGAGAATCTAGAGGAAGGCTCGCAGTGCTAACTCTTTACTCCACATCACCTTAGAAGCAATCTGTTCCAAAATTCTCTCATCAACAATTTCTAACACTTTTAATGTTAGCAAAGTTACAACTAAATGGGAATTCCTAGAGTCAGTGATTCGACCTCTAAAGAAGCCACCTGATCCTAGAAGATGAGCGTTCAGTGCACTGTTGGAGTCTTATTCCCTGTGCTAATTGCAGTATTGAAGCATTAATCACACTCCTATATGTTGATCTTGGGCCTCTTCACTTAGGCTGGTTGTTCATTTGTAGCAATGTGTTTTGCTTTTGGGCTATTTGAGCTTTGGCTTGGTTGTTCTCTTGTTAGCAATGAGCTAACTATTGAACTTCATTGTAATTTCCTTCTTTATTTATAAATTAACTTTACCTTCAAAAAAAAAAAAAAAATGAATCCTGAAAACTTCGGCTGTATGATGTGATATATGGAGAAATGTATTACTTACTGTCATCTCAAATGTCATGTATTGGTAGCTTGATAAGCTTACTTTTCATTGAAAAGAAGATTTGCCACAATGAGACAAAACAGAATTCTATGGAGCGTACAAGTTGTCGCTTTATACTACTAATTTCAACTTAATTTTTCTAGAAAACAACACAGGCCCAAGAGAATGAAATGCTCAATTCCATCCATTGCCTTCAGTTTCTCACTGAAACTTGGTTTTCCTCTCGTTGTAAATAGTTGAATTTTTACTTCTCTGATTTTTCTACGAAAAACCCAACTCTATATTTTGTTTTCTGATAGGATAGTGATGTCTCAAATCAGGGGCGGAGCCAGAAATTAAATTGAATGGAACAGTGTAAAAAAAAAAAAAAAAATTCAATAATCACAGATTCTATAAATCAAGAGACAAAGAAGAAAAATTACTCAAAATAATATGTCAATCAATAAGTAATTTAAGAAAGATAAATAGTTAACAAAAAATTTAAAAAGGAAAGAAAAATGGGAGAATTTTGAAAGAGAAAAAAATTGGAGTTTGATTCAAAAAGAAAATTTTGACTTTTTAAAAAAGAAATTAAACTAATTTAAAGAGTAAAAATAGAATAAATACAAATTTAAGAGACAATTTTAGAAAATAAAAATTTTAGGGGAGGCATTATATGAATTTTTTCATATATACATGTAAAAATATATAAATTTAGTATATATATTATAGTAAGCGGGGCCAGGCCAGAGGGCACATGCCCCCCGGGCATACACTGGCTCCACCCTTGTCTTAAATTCTATTATAATTACGTATCTATTTTAAAGTTGTATTGTATCATGTAATTTTCAGATACATCTGCCAGTAAGTTGAGGTTTGGGCTCTATAAATAATTACGTATGTTATTGTTGAGATGTATAAGTGGAGATACGTGTAAACCATAAGGGCAATCTCGCAAGGATGTGAGTACAATGGATAGAGAGGGTTTTACAAAGTGTTGTAATATCTCTACATGATTATAGTGGAATCTCCTCATCCATGTACGTAGCCTTGAGTTTAGGTGAACCATGTAAAAAAGAGCCAACTGATTCGACTGGGATTGATGTTCAAGAGATCCAGAAAACACAAGAAATATCAGCACTATTACAACAGGTTTAGTTGTAGGTGGAGTCAATCAGTCACGATTATCGTCAGGGTTCATTCTCTCAGCCTGTAAAAGAGATAGTGGTTTTGCTCTCAGCCAAGATTTTCTAAAAGGAGTGGATTTGTTCTCTCAGCCCGAAAAAGAGGAGGGTGGTTTTGCTCTCAGTCCGGAAAAGAGCAAGACAAATCGTGATAAGGTACATGGCAAAGGTAGAGTCTTAAAGGACAACAAGGTGAGTTATCAGATCCAGTTGCCGTGGAAAAGCATTGATTGACGTGATGAAATTTGACATAAGGTAAAGACTGTTAAGATAACGATGTCTCAAATTCTATTATAATTACGTATCTATTATAGAGTCGTATTATATCATATAATTTTCTGATAACTCTTCCAATGAGTTGAGGTTTGGGCTCTATAAATAATTATGTATGTTATTGCTTAGATGTATGAGTGGAAAGACGTGTAGCCTGTAAGGGTAATCTGGCGATGTGAGTACAATGGGTAGAGAGAGTTTACAAAGTGTTGTAATATCTCTACATAATTATAGTGTAATATCCTCATCCAAGCCCTGAGTTTGGATGAACTGTGTAAAAATGTTGTGTTGTCTTCTGTAATTGCTTTATTTGTTTCCAAAGTGATTTGGTTATATAAATTTTTCGCTTCCGTTGTGTCCAACATTTTCGTCCAACAAATTATTGTATATTTATAGATGTATATACATGCATAATATATAAATATATACTTCATATAAAAACATATTAGTGAAACCTTTATAAAAATTTTGATTTCTAAAGAACTAAGAATAAAATTTATTAATTAATTAACTTTTAATGAAGTCAGTAACTATCACAAAAGGTGTACATTGAGCACATACTTAAAAACTTTAATATGAATGAATTATTATTCACTAGAACAAGTTCTATTTTTTTTTTTTTTAAACACCAAACAGATCAACTAGCAATCAAAGGAAAGAACAACATAATCGAATAAGAGAGCATTTAACAACCACGAACATATGCTCCACTCTAAGTCACCACATTCGGCTTTAAAAGCATGTTTACTCAATTAATGAACAATCATATTACCTCCACGAGGAACCCATGCAAGGGACGAACCTCATAATTCGTAAGCAAGGAGAGAATGTCACTGAAAACAACACTAAGAGCTTCCATCGAAGCTTCCAACCTCATAACTGGCAACAGTCGCCTTTGACTACCACCTTATGATAACCCCATCTCTTAACCAGAACCAATGCCTCACGTAACACCAGACCCTCTGCCATGGAGGGGCTACAAACTTTATTGAGGAATGTCGTGGCCACCTTAATTGGATGACCTTAGTGATCTCTTAGAATTATGCCCCCGCAACACGAGCGATAGGAAAGACAAAACGATGCATCAAAATTAAGCTTGAAGCACTAGAAATTTGGCACTAACCAGCTCCTAACTGACGGAAAGACTGCCTTAATCAACAGAATAGCCATCCTATTAGAGTGACGAGCCTGCTCCTGAAATTTCTAATAAGCATTGAAGGTAATCGAACTAGCTTCATGAGGATCCCATTGCTTATGTTTAAAAACTAGATCATTAAGGCATTTCTATATGGACCAGCAAATAAAGGCCGTTAAACACAATCAGCCAACGCTGTAGAGGCGAACCACACCTCGCAGAGAGAGGCCCATCTCAGAGGCCAAAAGGACGGTTGCAACCCAAAGAAATCAATACGTAACGGGCAAAGCTTCCATACTATACAAGCGAACGAGCAAGTACAAAGAAGGTGATCAATCGTCTCAACGGCAGCCTCATACACAAGGCACATCGAAACCTCAATAACCCCCCACCGCTAAAGAAACTCATTCACCGGAACTCTGTCATAAAGGGACTGCCATAAAAAGAGTTGAACCTTCTTATAGGCACGGACCAACCATACATGTCTCCACATGGGACCTTTACTAGCATCGAAACACAACCCTTCCAAGGGAGGAGAGCAATCACCTTTGCTCAGAAGAGATTCTGCAACATAATACGCACTCTTGACCGAAAAGTACCCATTTCTGGATACACCCCAAATTTTACAGTCTAAACCACCCGAAATACTTAGAGGAATTTGCAAAATCAAGTCAAAATCTTATTGATTAAAAAAATGACCAATCATATCAGAGTTCCATTTATGCACATTAGGAAGAATTAAATCAGCAACCGAAGAGAAGAAGGCCCCCATGGCCGTGAATGAAATGAGAAATTGAGAGAGTTAGGGAGACAATTATCCTTCCAACAGTTAACGCTAGAACCATCCCCAATTCGCCAACGCATACCTCTCTTAATAACTGCCTTTGAAGACAGGATGCTCTTCCAAATTCATAATGCACTCTGTCGATTAGGCATTTCAACAAAGTTACAGTGCTTCAAGTACTTTTGCTTGAAAGACCTGCATAAAAGCGAATCATCACCAACTTCCATCTGCCAAGTAATCTTAGCTAGAAGAGCTAAGTTGATTACCTCAATATTCTTAAAATCGAGCCCCCCACTATTTTTAGACTTGCACAAATTATCCCAACTTATCCACTTGATTTTATGAGACTTCTCCATCCCGCTCCACCAAAAATTTGAAAAAGTGCTGGTTAATTTCTCATAATTCTTTTTGGGCAGTTTGAAGCATTGCATGGAGTACATGGGAAGAGCCGAAAGGACTGACAACAGAGTGCCTTTAAGTGAAGCAATTTTCTTTGAGACTCGTTCTTGAATGAAGTTTAAAGCTCCTACTTTAGATCGACCTAGAAAAGAAGGATGCCCCAAATACTAATTATTCCAATACACATTCTGAAGACCCAAAGCCTATCTACAAAAATCTTTCTGAGAGGGAGGAGTATTAGGAGAGAAAAAAAGGCAAGATTTCTCCAAACTAATGAGCTGACCAGTGAGGGACACATATCTATTAAGAACAGCCTTGTCCCGCCTAACCTCCGGATCCCTGCCCTGCAAAAAATAAGGGCATCATCGGTGAACAAAAGGTAAGAAATGGGAGAGCAGCCTATTCCCATGCGCAGCCCCGAAAGCTATTTTTTCCTCTCGGATTCATGGAATAGAATAAAGATGCCCTCTGTGTAGAGTAAAAATAGAAAAAGATAGAGTGGATCCTTCTGTCGAAGGCCCTAGAATGGAAATAAACAATCCCCACGTTCCCAGTTAATCAACATCAAGTAGGACACGGAACTAATGCACTCCATCATCAGGTTCACCCAGCGCCTATCGAAGCCCAAGTGACTTATAAAGTCGCCTAAGAAGGACCAACTCACTCTGTTATTGGCCTTGGCTATATCCAATTTCAAGGTTAAAAAATGAGAGTTACCATACTTTTTCCGTTTTAGGACATGTATAAGGTCATAGGCTAAAACAATATTATCGTGGATTAGGCGATTCGGGACAAAAGCACTTTGGGTGTCAGAGATATGGAGTTAAAGAAGGGGCTTAAGCCTATTCGCCAAAGCTTTTGAAAAAAATTTATATGACACATTGCACAGAGAGATGGGCCGAAAATTCGACATAACAGTAGGATGTGCCACCGGTATGAGGACCAAATTAGTAGAGTTGAAACCTCTAAGGAAAATACCACCTTGGAGAAAAGAATTGAAACCTTATAAAATATTTCCTTTAAGCAATGCCCAATTTGACTGAAAAAACATAGGAGTGAAACCATCTGGACCAGAGGCCTTAAACGGACCCATGCTTGCCAGCGCGGCCTGAAGCTTTTCTTCCGTACCATCTTTGAGAAGTTCCATGTTCATATCAGGAGAAACTCTAGGAGTAATGAAACTCTAGAACTCGTGATCAACCGGGTCAGGAATGGACGAGTAAAGATTATGGAAATAATCCTCTGCCACCTTACGGATATCATCTTTAGAATCTTTTCATTGACCCCCTAAGTCCATAAAACCAAAAATCACATTCTTCCGACGCCGAATTTTTGCTTTCGTATGGAAGAACTTTGTATTTTTATCACCATGAGATAACCAAGCAATTCTAGATTTCTGGATCCAGAAGAGTTTTTCATCTCTCCAAGCCTTACCCAATTGTTGTTCTAAATGAAAACATTTTGCCCAATCATACCCAGATTCTTGCTCTTTAAAAGATTTTAATCTAGCCTCCAAATCCTTGATCTCAGTCTGAGACTTATTGATTTTGCCTCTACGCCACCTTTTAAGAACTGTTTGACATTGAGAAAGTTTCTAATTGATAGTGAGCAAATGAGGGCAGAGACAAGGAGAATCCCACGTTTTTGCCACAATAGAAGTAAAATCCTCCTCATTTACCCAACGAGCATGAAAATAGAAACTACGCTTGGAGTGCGAAATAGAGTCATTTAGGCAAAGCATAAGGGCATTATGATCGGATCCGTGAACCGTGACATGGTGAAACATACTGCGAGGAAAGAACTGAAGCCACTGGCTTGAACACAAAGAGCGGTCAAGTCTGGCCTGAATAAGCTTACACGTATCTCAGTTATTTCTCCAAGTGAACGGATAACCTCTAAATCATTGGTCCATGAGAAGATAGTCCTCACAAAAAAAAAAAAATTAAAGTCCTTTAGTATCCACCCCTGCTTGGCACGACCACCTCTCTTTTCATCCCAATGAAGAAGAACGTTAAAATCGCCCATCAAAAGCCATTGAGGCCCTAACTGGAAAGATAAACTATGAAGATACCGCCATTGATAGAGCCGTTCGTTCTCCGTACAGGACCAGTGCACTCTAGTGAAAAACCATAGAATATCTCTTTTACCCCCGACAACCTTACAAGTAGTTTGGAACCCAGAAAAATCAATAATTTCTATATTCCATTCCTTAGAAAATAAAAGAGCTAGACCTCCAGCTGTACCCAATGAGGATACGAAAAAATAATCGTAAGACCCCAATAGAGCCCGAACTTTATCAACTCTATCCCCTGCATTTTTCGTTTCTAACAGAAAAATTAAAGGTGGAGAATAAAGGCGAACAAGCCTCCTCAATTGGGAAACTGTCAGGGGGTTCCCTAAACCCTGACAATTCCACACCAGAATCCTCACTAGGGGGTTAGGGCCACACAAGACTGGCTACTACCACTGATTTGGATGTAGATACGGGAGACTCAATCACTGAAGGTCTGTTATCATCACCGGAGCCCAGCACTTTGGATCTCTTTGGACCCGATTCTAATGGGAAAACATCCCCGGCATATTTCCTTTTAAGAGTTAACATAAAATCCTCACTTTCTCGTTCTTGCTTTGATCGTGCCTTATGCTTCCATGACCGATGAGTCAGACTGCCAGGTTTGGCTCCGAGGTAAGGGAATGACCAATGTGGTGTAAGGATGGATCTAATCCAGAAGAGGGGGAGACTACTAAATCATTATGTGCCCATTCTTTGTATTCTGGGCCTAAAAGAGGTATCACAATTGGACCTGGAGGCAGTGGCACTAAAGAGGATTAGGCCTCAGGTCTTACGACCACCTTTTGGGCTAGAGAATGTTGAACTGTATATGAAATTGGGGTAGAAGGCCTAGCCCATTTCTGGATCGATGGCTTCATAACGGTAAGTATATCCCCCCCCCCCCCCGATATAACTCACGTGAGTCTCACCTGCTTCAGAAACTGACAAAACTTTCCCTCAAGCCTTGTGCGGTGACTGCTGAGGCTCAGTTATCTCATCTACGCACATAGGTCTAGCTGCCATCAAAGTAGTGCATAATGGTTTATCATTGTTATCCAGACTTTCCCGATTACCACTACTGACGTCGTTGGGGGACCTTCCATTCATCGGAATAGGTAAAACTAGGTAATGGGTATTGGTAGAATGTGAGGAACTCTTTGAAGACAAGTTGGGCTTATCAGTCCTAAGTCTACCAGCTTTGCCTGAAGTCTTCAACCACGAACTGAACTGACGTTCGTCAATTGGTTCTTCTAACTTCCACGGGCACGACCGGAGTTCATGACCCACCCGGCCACAATTATACCAGAGAGACGATAGACGTTCATACCTAAATTTCATTCACTGTCGCACACCGCCATGGAAAATTTTTAACCCTCTTCGAAAGGATTTGGAGACTTCGAACCCCACTCCTATGCGAAGATATCGACCTCCTCCATTAAGACCTAAATCCCTAACTTCAACAGTTTCACATGGCATAAAAGATGAGGCAATATCTCTAGCGACTTCGTCAGTTGTTAATTGAATAAGAACATTAGTGATCCGAATCTAAAAGGCCATCGTAAGGAAAGAAGTCACCTTAAATTCAAACATCGGTGACCATGCTTAGATCGAAATCAGATCCCCATTAAAACTCCATGGATGATTGTGCATAATCCGCTCACTATCTTCTGCACTAGGAATTAAAAACTGAAACATAAGATCTTGGATATGATACATTTGGAGGCCTTCACAATCCCAGGCTTCACTGAGGGCCTTTCGCATACCGAACAACTTCACTAGCTTTTTAGTAAAAAGTTCCCTACCAAACTATTTGCACACCATTTAGCCCCTTCATGAGCCGCTGCATCAGTGATAACCACCTCGTGCTCTTCCTCTTCAGAAAGCTTGCAGAAATCAAGGAGGGGAGGCAAGATCGTCCTCCATCACACAAGGGAAACCAGGACTTAGCTAACAAAGAGAAAAAGAAAAACCAAATCCGCTTGACTAGCAAAAGAAACTATTCTGAAAACCCTTTCACTCACCCACTAGAGAATGAAGGAGAAAACCCTTTAAACGCAGCTAAGGGGAAAAAAAATATTTCTATCCATCTGAAGAAGTTCTAATTCGAAAGGGGATAAACTTAAAGAAAGGACAATGTACTAAGAATTATATAAAAAGGATATCGTGAAGAATAAGTCTTATGTATGCAATTGTCCGGATATAACATCTCTTTCGATGATTTTAATCATTGAGCCATGGCAAAGGAAGTCTAGCAATATTAAGAGTGATAACCTTATTAGATATATTGTATTGATTACATAATCAAACTAAATTTGTAGCTAGTTATTAAGCTACTTTTCAAGCAATTTAGGTAAGAAATTTTATTACAGACGTTGGCATGATAGATTTAGTTGCAAAGCCCGTGAAGATATTTTGTGATAGTTCTGTAGTAATATATTTCTTGCAAAAATAGGATGTCAGTGCGAGATCTAAATTTGTAATGTTAGCATATTTCAGAATTAAAACTTAGTGATTGAGATGTATTTTTATTTATCTTAAGTGTCGGTCTTTTAGAGCTGAAACGCAAGTGTATCTTACTGCTGAATTCGTTGAGAACATCAGTTAAAATAGGTTCGTGAGTGATGGCATATTGCAATTACATGTTTTAGGTTGGTTGTGAAAGCATTGAGCTTTTTAGAGTCATCATGTCATTTTTTAGCCCTCAACAAAAGTACAACCAGTTGCACTTTAAACAGAACTGATGACACTTCATGCGTGCTTTAAAATAACTCTTAGCTAAAACACAACCGATTATACTTTAGAACACAACCTGTTAAAGCAAAAATTCATATTTTGGTAATTTAAGTTTTCTATTTTTACACAAACACTTAAAGAAGTTCTTGTACGATTTTAAAACATCTTTTTACTTATTATAAGGACTCTCTAGTATGTGTGTGTGTGTGTGTTATATACTTATTATAAGGACTCTGTGTGTGTTTTTTAAGAGAAATTTGATTGTGTTTTTTAGATCAAAGTACATACTTAAATACAAGAGTGATTTAGGATGATATTTTTTTACTTATCAATACGGAATCTTCAAAGTTTACATTATTCTAACCTTTACAAAAATCAGATTTTAAAGAAGAAGAGGAAGTCGATCACACTAAGAAGGGGTGAAAGCATTCGACGAGTGTTTGTTGATCTACCAGGAACCCTTTTACAAGGACCAAGGAGTAAACCTAAAGTCTAAGGTGTTTGGATCGGGGTGTTGCCAATGCATAGTGACGTTTAGCGATAGTACTTGGTAGAGCAGAGTAGGTGTGAGCATGAGTCATAGTCCATTATACTTTGTTTTAACAATAGTGGATCGTTTCTCTCGAGGCTGCGAAAGTGTTGATGCTAAAATCGGCTCCTTAGATCCGATTCGGAATTGATGTAGTACGGGCGTGCCAAAACCAATTGTATGGTCCGAGTGTGAGTTGTCAACTACAGTCCCTTTGAGAATATTGACTATCAGGTGATGCGAGGAGAAAAAGAACAAATATAACTCCTCTTTGAGTTCTAATTACCTTAATTAAAAGGACTTTATCAGTGAATAATATATAGTAATAATTTGATAATAGAAAGGAGGAGAAATAGATATAGAAAGTGATAGGGAGAAGAGATAGGGAGAGATATAAGGAGAAAGATAAAACGAGACTAAAATAGAAAGAGAGAGAAAGAGATAGAGATAACAAGGATGCTATTTGGGGAAAGTGCTTGAGAAAGCAAACAAAAATAATATAAAGATTCTGAGGGTGCTGGACCTTTATCTCAGTATGCCTCTTTGATTATTTATAGAAATTATTAGTAAAACAAATACATGTAAATAGGCATCCTAATTACTTTACAACTCTATTACATAATTTAAAAATCAAACTAATCCTGTAGATAAGCATCCTTATGCAACTAAATAAATACTTCCTGTATATTTGTTACTTCCAGTCATCCAAACCAACTCTATCTATTGCGTTTTCAAATATAATCCATGCAAAACTCAATCTTCCTCTAACTGCATCATAGCTATCCCAACCGTAGTCCAAGTCTATTGTTCAGTCCATGTATACTAAAAATGG